TATTACTCTATAAATGTATATACATGCATGCATATAAATACATGTAAAATATATATGTATATGAAAACATAACATTATTCTTAATGTTCAGTATTACTGAGAATGGTGATAGTAAACTTTAGCCATCATTGTAAAACAGTTTGACGGACAGAGAAATTATATTCACACAATAGAAATATGTTGCCACTCTAAGTAATAATAAAAAGAAATTTCACTTCAAGGTAAATTTAAGTCATATAAAAAATTTTTTATTTAATTTTGAGTATTTTGATATTTAGATTTGAGAATACAAGCACACCTTAATATGTTGAACTCATTTTGGTGGGGTAGGTGTAAACACTGAGTCATTTAGTCAAAAAGAGGAAATGTGTCAGAACTAAACAATTATATTTTTTAAGTTCTTAATTCTTGTATTCTTATTCTGCACTATTTCTGTAATATTATCTACTTTTTAAAACTTGAATTTTCAGTGCTTTTTGAACTTATATAGTTGATAATTATATGTGTAACCCAAACCATGGATACTCACTTTTGTTTCACAGGAAATCAGAAAATTAGAGGAGCGTGTGTACAATATGTCAGCAGAAATCAAGTCTATGAAAGAAGAACAAGTGCGTTTGGAACAGGAAATAAAAGGAGAAGTGAAACTATTGAATAACATCACTAATGATCTCAGACTGAAAGACTGGGAACATTCTCAGACACTAAGAAATATTACTTTAATTCAAGGTAAAGTATCTTTGCATTCCTCCAGAAAATGATACATTACAATGTACTGATATATGCAGAAATTTAAAGGTCATAATCCTACGGTTTAAAATAAATTATTGTGAGTATACATTTTCTATTCATACACAAAGGAAGGAATCTTATGATCAGGACATGGTAACATCACCAGTAGTTTGAATATTTTCAACAGAAGGAGATAAACAAATGAAATATCTCATAAGAGCTCATGAGTTGTTCATTGCTGGAATCATACCACATGTACTGAAGAGGGGTATTCATCCTCTGATTGTGGGTACAAAGTTCTCTACATGTACATAATCATGTTTGTTAATTCTGTTCTCAAAACTTCCAGGTTCTCAATTACTTCTTCTCTGATTATATTATTAATTAGAAAGGTATTCTGAATTCTCTAAAATAATGGTACATGCACCATTTCTTCTTCAGTCACTGTTAGTAGAACAAAGTGAATTGAATCATAGTTTTTATTAAAATATGTATCATGGTATATTTTGGAGTAGCTTTTAGTTATTATTTTTATTATAAATATTTTTCCATCTTTTGCTTTCTACATCTTTGTATCTTTTGCTTTAGCTTGTCTCTTGTAATGAAGATTTATCTTGATTTTTAATTTTTTAAATGCAATCTGACAAACTTTTCCAATTGTATTAATTTTGAAAAACAAAAATACTACTTTGTGCATTATTTTTGTTCCATTTGTTCCATTCTTTTGCATTTCTTTCTTGACTATTTTTTGGATTGAGATGTTTGACTTCTTATTCCATTCATTTCTACACTGGTTTTGAAAATGTTTAGAGTCATTTCCATGTTGTTGATTTTAATGCTTGAAATTTTGCCATAGAAATTTATCTTAAAAATAAAACAGCTAATGTGGATTTGTACACCTTAGCCTTCTTAAAATATACAAGGCACTTAAAATGCTTTGTCTGATCATCCTCTTCCCTGATCTTTTTTGTTATAATTTATTTCCATGTTACACATTTTTAAACCAAGAATTTATTCTTATTAACAGATGTTTAAAGATTTTATTCCCCTGGTTTTCCTTGTTGTTCTGAAACTGACTGCCATCAATCTGCCTGTCATTCTCTTTGTCTTTAATATCTACAGTTTCACTAATCTGTTTTTGTAGTGATTTAATCTATTAATGTCAGTATTTGTTGTACTCAATGTATTTGTAGACTTAAATATATCGTCTTCTAACATTATCATCTTTAGTCTATTTAAATGTTGCTTCAGAATTCTTCTTCTAATGAATTTTATTGAAATATAATTTATGTACAGTGAAATACACAAAACTAAAGTGACATGAGTCAATGCATTCTTTCCCATCCCTGGCAACCAACAAAGAAAGTTTCTTTCCATATATTAACCCTTCCTTGTCCCTCCACAACAACAAACTAATACTATATTTGCCCTTCTGTGATTGATTTATTTCACTCAGCATAATGTCCTCCAAGTTCATCCATATTACGCAGTGTTTTGCTGACTCTACATTATTCTTTAGTGTTGCATAGTATTCCATTTTGTGTATGTACCATAGTGTGGTTACACATTCTTCTGCTGATCAGGACATAGGTTGTTTCCATCTTCTTGCTTTTGTAAATAGTGCTGCAATGAGCACGAGGGTGCATACATCTGTTCCTGTCCTGGCTTTCACTTCTCTAATATATATATACCTAATAATGGGATTGCTGGGTCAAATGGTATCTCCAATTCCACCTTTCTAAGGGATCACAATACTGCTTTCCATAGTGGTTATATCACTTCACAATCCCACTGGCAATGTATGATAGTCTCAATCTCTCCACATCCCCACCAGTATTTGTTAATTTCTGTCTTGTTGAACCTTGTCATAGAAAATGGGTACCTCATTGTTGTTTTGATTTATACCTCTCTGATGGCCAATGATCATGAACATCTCTTCATGTATTTGCTGGCTGCCCGATTATCCTCCTTGGTGAAGTGGCTGTTCATGTCATCTGTCCATTTTTCAATTGATTGTTAATCCCTTTGCTGTTGAGACATTAGAGTTTTCTAGAAATTTTAGAGAAAAGTCCTTTGCCAGATACATAATTATTGACAAGTATGAAGTTGTTGCTCTTATTTTGTTAATGTGCTTTTTAGTGGTGTTGTTGATTTCTTTGTTCCATAATTTTCTGTGCTGAGCCCTTTTGTTTATGAATCGTGTTATCACTTCCTTCATTGCTATTGTTTTAGTATTTGCTAAATATTTGTTCTGGTCCTCTTTTTCATTTTGATGTGAAGGTTTATCATTTTTCTTTGATGTTGCCCTGTGATTTATAGTTTTCTTCCCAAGTTTAGAACAGTCCATTCTATCTTGTAATTCTCTTGACTTCCCTACCATTTAGAAGTTCTGTAACTACACATTTTTTTCCCTCTTTTTGGTTTGTAATTGTCCTCATTTGTCCATTGATGTCTCTGGTTCCCTGTTTACAATCTTGTAAGTTTATTTACTTTGGGTACTTCTATAACTGGGTTGGTTTCTGGGTTACGTCGATTCTCTTCCAACAAATCTTTGACAACTTTTTCTGTGGTTTTATTTGTCTCTTCTTGTTCTGGAATTCCAATGATCCATAGGTTATTCCTTTTGTTGGTCCCACATGAACCTTAGGCTTTCTTCATTTTGTTTTGATCTTTTTTCTGATTCCTTTCCAAAAAAGGATTGAGCTATTTGCCTTGAATCTCAATAATTCTGTCTTCCATTGATTCAATTGTAGTCCTTTGCCCTTTCAATGTGTTAATTATTTCTGAAAATTTAGAATTAATCTTCTGGATTTCTGCTGTAGATTTTGTATCATTTCTAATTTTCATTTATTTTGTCATTTTGTTCTTGTACTGTCTTTCAAAATTGTTCTAAGGTCTTTTCTGCATTTTCCTCAATTTTGTCAGTTTTCCTTGATCTCTCAATTATACCTAAATATAATTCTTTTGAATTTCTTTTCAGAGTTCCAATGCTATGTTTTCCTCAGGGATATGTTTTGGGTCTGTATCCTGGTCCCTTGTTTCTCCTGGTTTATCTTGCTTCTTTCTGTGGACTGTGATGCTTTGTTGTCTCTGAGGCATTGTGATGTTTTTGTGTTTCTATTTAATTGGTGATTGTATATTGAAGTGACTTGCCCACGATTTTTGTTTTCTTTGTATGTTATCTATGTAAGCAAGGTACTGTCCTATGCTCCTCTATTTGCTAGATGGCAGAACTTATACACTCAATACCTCTCTCCTTTCCCATTGTCAGTCTCCCATATGTCCCTGCTATCGTTGACAAACAGAGCCTATTCTTGTTGTTGTTGTCATGTGCCCTTGAGTTGGCCCAACTCATAGCGACCCCTCCTTGGGAATCTGGATGAGAATGCTGTCACCTTAAATATCCAAATGGCCACTGTTTGTAAACATTCAAAATGACTGTGCCTTTGCTCACTTTAATAATCCAAAATGGCCACCACTTGTAAACAATCAAAATGGCTGCACCCTCTGGACAACAGAAAGTCCACAGCTCAGGTTGTCTCCCTCCTTGTTTTTCCCTTCCTAATCTGGTGGTGTAATGCCTAAGACATTTGACTGCTAACCAGAAGGCTAGCCACTCCTCAGAAGGAAGGTTGGGCAATCTGCTTCCATAGTGATCCTGCCTTGGAAACCCAAGGAGGGGTAGAAATGAGTCGAATCCAACTGAATGGCAGTACATTGCATTAGTCATAGGCCACCAGTACAGTTGTTCCTGCAGCCTTTGGCCACTATGGCTGATCTTTAAGTCAATTCTCAGGTCCCAACACCACTTAGAAATATTCAGGCTATTTGTGCCAACCCTCTCTGTACTCACTGTTTTCATTCAGGTTTTCCCACTAGTTAATGCCTCTTCCACTTCTGTATACTTCATTTCAAAGCTCAGGGCTCTAGGATTGTCTTCTGTATCTCTGTCAATTGGTTTCTCTTTTCTTTGTTGAAAACGGTGTATGTACCTTGTCTGCCTATTCTTCCATCTTACCGGAAGTCCTTCAAAATTCTCTTTATCTTTTCTTCTTTAATTAAATTTATGTTAGATCTTCTTCTGTCTTCCAGGTCCTGGTAAACTCACTTTCATATTTTCATCTTTTTGCCTCATTAGTTATAAGAGAAATAGAAATCAAGAACTCCATGAGATTTCATTTTATGACCACTAGCTTAGAAAAATTAAGATGTTCAATAATCCAAGGACTGACAGTGAAAAAAGTATTTTTTTAAAGTCCCAGAAAACTAAAGTAAATAATAGGCATTTACAAATAAATATCTTTGTAATAACAATGGCTGATTTTAAAATGCAAAAAATGATAAACACAAAATTCAGTTTCTCATTGAGAAAGGAAGTTTCATTGAAAAGGGTGGGGAGCACACAGGTGGGCCCTGTTTCTTAGTAGTGAAGTTGCATGGTTGTTCTCTTTATTATTTTGCCTATAGCTATCTTATACAGTGTATGTTACATATATTCTTTGATTATTACATTAAAGTAAATGATAAAGAAAATTTTGAATTAATTAGTTTCCTTCTTACCAATTAAGAACTCCACTAGTATTTCAAATAAACATTCAACACTACAAATCGATCTTGACTCTTGACCAGGTCACCTTTTTTCATCTCTCCAAATCTGCTTTCCCAGTCTTTTCTGTCAGTTGCATGACTAGCCAAAGGATTCTTCATTCCAAGTTGGCTTTGAGGCCATCTTTCACTTCCCATTTTCTCTTACCCCATATAACCAATGAGTTCTGATAACTCCTCTTTCATACAATATTTCAAAGAAAGACAAAAACACTTTTCACCATCTCCTCTACTACTCACCAAAAATCACAGTCACTCCTATCAAGTTGATTCTGACTCCTAATGACCCCTATTGGATTTCCAAGGCTATAAATCTTTACAAAAGAAATCTGTCTCATCTTTTTTTTTTTTTTTTGGTGGAGCAACTGGTGGGTTCAAACCATTGACCTTTT